CAACTACCTCAGGGGGGTTCCAAAGAGGATGGAGCTCGGCTGTTCTCAGTTGTGGCAGATGACAGAACAAGGAGCAATGGTCTCAAGTTGCAGTGCGGGAGGTCTAGGTTGGATATTAGGAAACACTATTTCACTATGAGGGTGGTGAAGCACTGGAATGCGTTACCTAGGGAGGTGGTGGAATCTCCATCCTTGGAGGTTTTTAAGGCCCGGCTTGACAAAGCCCTGGCTGGGATGATTTAGTTGGGAATTGGTCCTGCTTTGAGTAGGGGGTTGGACTAGATGACCTCTTGAGGTCCCTTCCAACCCTGATATTCTATGATTCTATGATTCTATGGTCAACTGAATTCTGGTGCATATGGTTCCAGGACAATGACTGACGCTGAGACTTGTTATGTTCAGATTGACATTCTTTCACTGCAGTAAAAGCATCTGGAAATTCACAAAATACTGGAGGACTAGATTCTCTTAAACTACTGACTGACCACAGACTGCTCAGGCCACTGACAAATAACTATGAGCTGAATCATGTTTGAACTAGTCATTTTTTGAATGTGGCTGAAGGAATAATGAAGAATTCTCCCATAGACGTCTCAGAAATCATACATGACCTATTTTCAGATTACAAAATCTGAGTATTTTATGTGAAGCTTGTTTCGGGGTAGCACTTTGCCCTCAGTATTTGTGCTAACTGGTGCTGAACTATGGATGTAGCAAGGATTCTGATGGGGTGAGTGATAATCTCATTTCCCCCACATCTCCACTCCTAAAGGGCAAGATCAGGACCAAGAAGCAGTGGCAGACTTCAGTAAGGTATTGCTCTTACTTTCAAGTGAAGCAGTGAGCCTATCATCCCAAATCAGTGAGAGAGCACATCAGCCCTTAGAGTATCTAGGATGCTATTTGATACTTCCTTTATGAATTGTGAGGACATGAGGAAGAGTCCCCCCCCCCCCAAATAATGTCAGTCTGAGAAGCTATTTAAGGTAAAGACGGGAGCAACTTCATTTCAATTAGAAGCGTACACAGAGCAAATTCCAGACATGCACTTAGTCAATTAGGAGGGGGTATTTAAAGCTTCACAGGATCTCTACTGCTTAAATATGTTGCATGGATCCAATGCCATAATCTGCCTGGCAACAAATTACCTCTAAATCCCCCACAGATCATTGCAGTATGAATTATCATCTTTTCATTAGAATTCTTCTGCTAAAATTGAATGGGGAACTCAGTTGTGCAAACATTGATAGAGAATATAGGAACATTGCATTCTAAATTAACGTACCATAACTCCTCACTTAATGTTGTAGTTAGGGTGACCAGATGTCCCGATTTTATAGGGACAGTCCCGATTTTTGGGTCTTTTTCTTATATAGGCTCCTATTACCCCCCACCCCTTGTCCCAATTTTTCACATTTGCTGTCTGGTCACCCTAGTTGTAGGTATGTTCCTGAAAAATGCAACTTTAAGTGAAACGATGTTAAGCGAATCCCATTTCCCCATAAGAATTAATGTAAATAGAGAGGGGTTAGGTTCCAGGGAATTTTTTTTTTTTGCCAGACAAAAGGCATTATATACATTTTAAACACAAAATTTAATACAGGTATGAGTTTTAAACAATTTTAAAGAAACAATTTAATACTACAATCATCACTGCTGAGTATGAAGCTTGGTTGAGGTGGTGGAGTCAGCGAGTGGAAGAGAATGGATTGTCTGGCTGCTCCTCTTGCTGTTCTTGCAAGTATAGGCACTGATTTTGCCAGGGGCAGGGGACTCAACCCTCGGCCCATCCACTCCACCCCTTCCCCCACCTCTTCTCCCTTTACTTTGCACACTGCGTCCTCACTCCTCCCCCCTCCCTCCCCTCCCTTCTGAATACTGCAAGCCAGCTGATTGCCGCTGGCAGGAGGCAGGAGAGGGAGGGGGGAGGCGCGCTGAGTCTTCGCTCCTCCCCCCTTCCTCCTGCCCAGGGCAATCACCTGGCTTGCGGCGTTTAGGAGGGAGGGGAAAGGCGCTGATCCATGGGGTCTGCCGGCGGGCGGGAGGCACTGTGGGGAGGGGGGAGGGCGTAGGGAGGCTGCCAGGTGTGGAGAAAGCAGGCAGCCAAACAATGTAAGAGTGGAGCATTGCACAACTTTAAATGAGCATGTTCCCTAATTGATCAGCAACGTTAGAACGAAACAACGTTAACCAGGACGACTTTAAGTGAGGATTTACTGTAGTCATTTAGGAAAGATCAGAAATGAAGGACTTTGGGGTATCTTTCTTTGCTGTATTGGGATGGAGGATAAATAAGGGAGTCTTTATAATAATGGAATAAACTTTTAGCAAGATCAAGAGAGGGATTATGCGAGAGCTTGTTCTTTTCAACACATATATCAGGGTGTAACAATGTTCATCAGAGAAAAGAAAAAATATATTGAAAAAAACAAGTGGATTGTATTTAAATAGGTGGGATTTACTTTTCATTTTTCCCATTGTACAAGTTTATCTTTTGATGTACATCTACTTTAATAATTACCAGATGACTAACGGTTTATTAGGATATATATTAGAAAGCACGATATACTGGAGTGACTAACGGTTTATTAGGATATATATTAGAAAGCACGATATACATAGATTTCAAGGCCAGAACAGACCATTGTGATAATCAGGATAGGAGTTAAACACTAGAAAATCACTGGGATCCACAAAGCCCGGGTTAGGCGCCTAGGCTCCCATACAATGAATGGGGAGAGATAGGCACCTTAGACTGCGATTCACAAAAACCAGTATGCTAGGCAGGCAGCTGCTAAGCTAGCCAATGGGAGATGCCAACCGACCAGAGGGGTGTGTGCTTAACCCTCTCTTGGTTAAGTGCCTATGATGTTTTATCAGGAAGTCAAGAGGAAGACGACAACCTCCCTCAGAGTTTTAGCTCAAAGATTAGAATACTCACCTGGGATATGGGGGACTTCCAATCAACTCCCCCCTCCACCTGAAGGGGAGAAAGGATTTGAACTTGACTCTGCCACCGCTCAGGTAAGTGTCCTAACCACTGGGCTTTGGGGGTATTCTGATATGAGGGCTCCTTCAGTCTCTCCTGTTGAAGCTGTTGCACTCTGGATAAATAATGAAAGAGCAACTGGAGCAGGTGGACTGGATCCTGGGTCTCCCAAATTCCAGGTGGGTTCCCTAACTACCAACCTATAGAGTAATTTTCATGCTTGAGCTCTCTCTCTCACTCGCTCATTCTCCAGCCCAAATGATGCTTCAAGTAGTTATCCAGAGTGCAACAACTTCAACCGGAGAGATTACAAAGGACCCCACATCAGAATATCTCAGAGCCCTATGGTGAGGACACTCACCTGAGAAGTGACAGATCCTAATTCAAATCTCTTCTTTACCCTCAAGCAGAGGTGGGACTTGAACTGGGGGTCTTCCCATATCCCAGGTGAGCACTCTAACCCGTGGGCTGAAAGTTATGAGGAAAGTCCTCTCCCACTCCAAACTGTTTTGTTTTACTTTACTTCTTTTATTTGAACATAGATGCTGAGTGAGCTTAGCTTCCTACAGGGTCCGGGGGGTTGGGGGTTGTGCATTGCAGTGGTCCCAAAACTGGAACTTTGATGCCTAAAATAGGAATTTAGGTGCCTAACCCCTTTTGTGTACCTAGGCCGATAGACTTAACTAGTGAAGGCGTATTGTTCTTTTCTAGACATTCTTATTGTTATGGTTTATATGAATGAATTTCTGGAAGGTCTTTGCTCATTCAGATATAGAATTAAATATTCTGTAAATAAAGAAGGAAATGTAAATATTGGGCAGCCGAATTTAATAATTATTAATTATTATTGTAGTGGTAAAGAAGGCTTAGGGTATGTCTACACCCAGCCGCTAGTTCGGCGGCTGGCAATCGAAGTTCTGGGTTCGACTTATCGCGTCTTGTCTGGACGCGATAAGTCGAACCAGGAAGTGCTCGCCGTCGACTGCAGTACTCCAGCTAGACGAGAGGAGTACCGCGGAGTCGACGGGGGAGCCTGCCTGCTGCGTGTGGACCGAGGTAAGTTCGAACTAAGGTACTTCGAACTTCAGCTACGTTATTCACGTAGCTGAAGTTGCGTACCTTAGTTCGATTTGGGGGTTTAGTGTAGACCAAGCCTTAAGTCCTTTCAGCTGTATGGATCATGTGATGCATTACTGCATTTCCTGGCCTTTAGAACTAATATGGTTGAAAAAAAGCTCTGACAAAAGCTTTGCTTGGTTGCATTGTGCTTAATTCATTTTTGAAATATCATGGTATACACTGTTAATTTAAAAAAACTTCTCGCATTCTGAAAGGTTATTTGTAAAATAAACCACTATGGAGACTCTTTCACACTAAACTAATGTCATATATGACCAGGCTTCATTTAGTATAAACATCTGCATCACTGAAAGATCTGTTTGTTCTAGAGCTAATCAATTTTTTTTCCTCTGTGGAAAATCTCAACTTTTTTGTTTTAACTCACAAACATTTTTTGGCCAGAAACCTGCTGAAACCTGAAAAATGTTTGGCCAAATAATACCATTTCTTAATTTTCAGGCAAAACATTTCAGTCTTGGTGTTTTTCAATTAAAAATAATTTTAAAAATCTAGGAAAGCAGATATTTACCACAAAAAATATTTATTAGAAAACCCAATTTTCATTTAAAATTTTTCAACAGAAAGTTTTTGACCAGCCCTAATTTGTCCTTTCCCAACAACTTCCTCTGAACTTTTATTTCTATAGAAATATATAACCGGGTATGTGAATGAATTAATAAAGTCATCTTTTTCAATAAGCATATTGTTGCCAGGACTATTGGCTCTTCTTGTCTATGCCATAAAACTCTCCTCTGCTGAATTGTATCAATAAAGGAACTGGAACAGACCTCCCCCCCCGCCAAGAATTTTAACATTCTCAAATTGTCAAAAATCATAAATATATTTTCCAACATCTCTTTAAGAAAGGTAACACTTTTTTAAAAATTTGCAGATGGCTATCCTAAAGAAGAAATGATTTACAGATGGAGGAAAAACTCAGTAGAGGCTGCAGACCAGAAATCTTGGAGACTCTATCAGTTTGACTTCATGGGACTCAGAAATACTTCAGAAATTGTGAAAACCTCTGCAGGTAGGAATTGAATGAATGCTCAGTTCTCAAGGTTAAGAAGTTCAATATATAGTTTTCTACACTCTATGTATGACATGATCTCATTTCTGTGCTTTGAATCTGACAGGTTTCAGCAGTTAATCTACTACACTGCAATCTATTGTACATGTTTGACTTTAATTGTGTTTATGTTCTTACCAGTCAGGTTATTCTCATGGTAAACTAAGGGCTAATGCTTTCCACAAATATTAATTTCAGTGGGAACTTCAGATGTTCAGGACTCTAACTCTGTAGGTGTCTAACTTTAGGGACCCTACTTTGAAAATGTTGCCCATAAACTGCTAGAAAATATTGATTTTTAAAATGATCACCTATTTCAATTACAGTTGATATTTATGAACTCAGAATAAAATGATGAAGAATATACTATGTGCAGTGAGGAATGGACTGGGCATTTTTTGAAAGTTTGTTTTCATTTAAGTACACTTTGAATTCAGGGAATTACAGTGTTTACAAGTGTTCATTTGAAAAGTGCCAAAATCCAGACTTCAATCTAATTGACTGTTTGGATTTCTAACAAAACCCTTCTCTCTTCCTCTCCTCTCTTCATAGTATTACCAACCTAGGAATAATATTAACTTGCAGCTGCTGTTTACACTACATTTTAAGTTGCCACAATATGCTTATTCTGCAATTAGGTGTTATTAAATTATCCCTGCATTGAGACATATGTTTTGATCATTGATTTTTTTAAATAGCAAGCATCAAGAACATTGTTTATTATCGTAGCCCAGAGCATAGCGGTAGAGCTAATAAAATTAAACGTTTTCATAACAAGTTAATCTTTCATCCACTGTTTGAGTATTTTTCTTAATGTTTCAAAGGCATGGTACACCTCCAGCTGATGAATGCCTTTTTCCATTGACCTTATCAATTGATTTTAATTAAAACTTAATGGCCATTTTATTTCCACAGGAACCTTTTTCTGTCTAATAATAATAATAATTAATAATAAATGAACTATGCATTAAATGGCGTAGATTGCTAAAATTGTAAAGTTAAACGTAACACAATATAAACAATAGATGCAGCACTTGGTAGATTAAAAAACTCATAAAAGTCAATCACCATCCAAAGGTTATAGATGACACTGAAGTAAGCTACACATCAATACATGTGGCGAGTGGTGTTAGTAGCATCTGCTGCTTTAATATTAACCAATTATGAATTTTTAAAAAGCAGAATTTAAGTGCATCTATATTATTTATTGGGAAACACTGTGGATAAAGAGTAAAACACACTGATCTGTGGGCTTAATGTGGAAAATGTATGGCCCATCCTCTTGCATCAATAATGCATTCTCATGGCTGACAGACAGTTTTGTCACTGAAATGCAATTAACGTATTAGTAAGTCTTTCGGGTACATGGCCTGGCTAAGGAGAGTGTTAACAAATGGAGCAAACATAAAAGTTTGTTCTGCTTCTGAATAATGAATATGGATGTGTAAGTTCTTCAGGCAAGTTAACTGTGATCTGGATGTTGGTAGATCAAGGTCAAGCCCAGGATACATTTTGGTTCCAATATCTGTGACAGGAGGCATGAAACTAATTAGGAGAGATGGTGAGAAAGCTAGAGATAGTGTGAGTGACCTGCCACTTCTATTCTGTGCTCACCAGGAGTCATGCCAGCTTGACAGTTTTCATCAAGAAATCTCGTTAAATGCACAGAACAGCCCCATCTGAAATATGAAGCTGCTGGCGGTATCCGAATAAATACACGTACCCGCTCTATTTAAACAAGTCAGAAGCCAGCTTCACATAGTCATTTAAGATCACAAATAATGAGGTAACTGGGCAAATTCCTTTTTTATACTCCTCTTCATAGACTCCAAGTTATAATTTAAAGAAGCGGCCGAGCTGGCGTTACTTTTTTACCCCATTACCCTTGCTACTTCTCAGTCATGCTTCTAAGCAAAAATCAACCTCTGGAGTCAATTTCTTTTCTGCCATTAGATATGTACTGTAGGCCAATTTTTCATGCACCAGCACTGTCATAGGATATACTGATCTAACATTTGGATGTTCAGATGGGCACTTAAAATGAGCACTGATGCACTAAATACTGATTTGAGCTTCCAAATGTGGGATTTGCATACCATAGTGAGGTACCAACATTTGAAAATTGTGCTGATCAAACCTATCTATCCAGATTCTTATATGGCCTTCGTGGACATGATAGCTTAAAACCTGGTGTTTATGTGAAATTTTTAAAATGTCAATCTGAAGTAGAGGGAGTTCCTTATAAAACACTGAGGGGTGCCTGGAAGAGAGGTTTTCTCTATTCAGATATTCATTGAGTGGATCAGTATTACTGGCTTTTCAGTACAGTATTTGAAAATAAGAATATAAGAATGGTCCATCTAGCTCAGTATCCTGTCTTCCAACAGTGGCCAATGCCAGGTACTTCAAACGGAATGAACAGAACAGGGCAATTATCAAGTGATCCATCCCCTATCGTCCAGTCCCAGCATCTGGCAGTCAGGGGCTAGGGGCACCCAGAGCATGGGGTTGCATCCCTGACCATCTTGGCTAATAGCCATTGATGGACCTATCCTCCATGAACTTACCTAATTCTTTTCTGAACACAGTTATAGTTTTGGCCTTCACAGCATCCCTTAGCAATGAGTTATTTGGGTTATCGGGTGATTTGTATCACTAGATGATGCAACCTTTCAGTATGATGTATTCCACAAATTAGTCAAAAATTCCTACAAATTCCCAAAGGCCCTAATGTTCTGCAAGATATTGTTGTCATCAAAATTAAACAAATCACCATTTAGGCTGTAGATGGGCCCAAAGGAAAAAAATATAATCATTACCAACTAAATAATAAAATATAAAGCAAATTACTGAATTAAGATACAGAAAAGTTACAATATGCTAGAGATTTGGGGCAATCATATCAGGGAAGAGGGAGATGATAGTTCCTCAGCTGTAAGCTCTTTGGGGCAGGGACCATCTTTTTGTTCTGTGTTTGTACAGCACCTAGCATAATGGGGCCCTAGCCCATGACTTGGCCTTCTAGGTGCTATAGTAAATATACATAAACAATAATAATAATGACTTTGGGCCATCATGATAGCAGAAACTATTGCCAAACCGGTGGTTTTTTTTTTTTTTTTTTTTTAATAGCACCAAAAATTGCAAGGGGGCTATAGAAATGAATTTACAAGTAACAAAATGAAATGTATATAGGCCAGTGATTCAGCTGGTGTCATTAAGCAGAGAGACCAGCTGAGTATCTCACTCATTAATTTTGGCTCACAGATGGATGAGGAGGGGAGGTGCTGGGAGTCTACAGATATATGAAGCATGTGAAAACCAAATCTCTGAACTTGCCTGAGGTGAACTCTCTCTGTAGAGGTCCAATGAAGTCTGCTGGACACTGTAAGGGTCCCACCAGCCCTGATCTTTTTGCAAGATCAGGACCCATGGAAAGAACAGAATTATGGAGGGTGATACACAGAGTACAATTAAGAACAATGGGATGAAATTCAGAAAAGAAAAACAGTCTGAATATCAGGAAAAAATGATATTCTGTTCCTCCCCAGGAAAACTGTGAAAACCTCCAACGCATGGGACATTTAAAACTAAATTAGACAAAGTATTAGAAAATATACTGTAGGAAACAGTCCTGCATTCCCAAGAGATGGACTCACTAGCCTAATGTCTTTTTCACTTCTAATGTTCGTTTCTGACATTTTATGATACAGTTACTTCCTTCCAGAATTGTGTGTGTAATGTGAGACCTTTGTCAGTATCACCGGTATACCTCTCTGCGTCTCTCTATATTCTCTTCTGCAAACTTGCAGCATGAGTGCTGATAGTCTGTACAGGAACATATTGCCATGGTGGCCAATATGTGTATAACCCGTTCCCTGTAATATAATTTAGCTCATCAAGTGACCACTTCATGAGCTTAGCAGAGCCCAGAGACAACATTCCATTAAACCTTTCTCTTTTAGAGAGTTACATACATTTTGTGTAATTGTAGACATGGTCTTGGTAACAAGATGGTTGCTACAAGGACTTCACAGTTCCTAGAATCTAAACAAGATAACAACAACAACAACAACAAATCAATGCCCCAAATCATCAAAGGCTTAAAGCACAGCCCCGGTGGTGTGCACTCAGGGGGAAGAGTAATCTGGGGTTTAATGACCTTTGCGGGCCAAAGAAGATTTGTATCTCTATAAATAGAGGTGGTCCTAGGCAGCCAAGTGAAAAACGTTTTCAGTACCTCCCACCCCTGCACCAGCTGAGCAAAAAAAACACCAAACATGAACCCTGGACAATCAGCAGAGCAAAAAAAGGGCAGCCAATTAGAAGGGAGCAAAAAAACAACAACCCCAAAACCATGAAAAGTACGGTCCTCTCTGGAAGTTGGCATGTAGGGCAAGCACTCTGCCCAGCCATCTCTAGAACCGGCCGTGAGTATAAGGCCATCAGGAGAGAGATTAAGCTAGTTAAAAATAGCACGAATACTATTTAGCCCTCTAGGACTGGGCTGTGGGAAAGGGAGACTACACATGAGAAAAAAAATCTTCTGTACTTTCATATCAGGGTAACCTTGTTGCAGTGTGGTTTGTGTAATCCTTAAACCCAGGCTCAGAGTGCTGGCTGTGAATTGTTCACTTAAGTGTTAGCTTTTAGAGTATCATCATTTAAAAACACAGTGGGGCAAAAGGAAAGCAGAGGTCTGAAGAGGAAGAGGAAGCTGTGGGGGAGCTGTTGCTGAGGGATCCTGGTTGCCGCTGTAGTGTTGTTCTTCATTGCTCCCTAGTCTACTCTCCTTCACTTCAAGGTCTACATCCTTTTTCTCCACTCAGGGTTTTATAACATTAATTCAACCCAAATATAGAGAGAGATTGGCTCCTTGACACCACATAAATCATATTTGCACTCACTTAAGGCCCTTTTAATCTGCCAAACTTGTGCAGTGTAAATGAGAACTGGGCTCA